CTCAGGAGGAAGAGGCAGGACAGTGAGTAGGGGGCTCTCATCTGGAGGATGGACAGGGAGGGGAAGACACATCAGTAACCACGGAGCATCCTTAGGCAGTGGCCAAAGCCTTGGCTAGCACATGTGCCCATCCCACAACCCAGCAAGAAAACCCCTACAGTACCCACTGCTCCTCTACATCAGCACCCAGTTGCAGCAGGGGATGCTGAGGTTAAGGTCTGAGCCCCCTTTGCCTCTCCCCTGCCTCCTTCAGACCTGCTCCCATTCATCTCAGCAGCTCCGTGCTCACTAGTTAAAGCTTTCCAGAGACTCCCCTGGTTCGCAGCCAGGATGGGGCTGGCTGCGCCAGGCTATTACCAGGCAGGCTGATGGGCTTCGGAGCTGCTCGTTCCTCTTAGAGGCACTGCAGGGAAGACTTAAGTGCATTCACCTGAGCCGGCCTCATCCTTCCTGTGTGCAGGTCCTACCTGCAGTGCCTACCTAATGCGAGAGCGGAAGAAGGTGCTCGACATCCCTCTGCTTTATGGGGCTCGGAGGTGCTGAGCAGCGCGGGATGGAGTGATGCTGTGCTGGGGTGACCTTGAGCACAGGCAGGGCTGCTCTGCCGCCCCTTCCTCCTCCCGCAGGGCTCAGCGAGGAGAAAAGGGGGTTTAAATTATTATTATTACTACTTCATGCTGGAGATGTCGCCTTAAAAGTCACCGCAGGCGATGGGGACACCACAGGGGGTCTGCCCTATGCTTGGTGAAGGAGATGCTGCGGGTGCTCCTCGCTTCTGTGCTGGACCCAGCTGAGCCCAAGACTCTGTTCCTCTTCCCCAGCAACCCCTCTGCCCCTGAGCTTTGCTGTGGGGTGCTCCCTGCCTTGTTCAAACCTCCTGCATGCGACAATTGTATTGTCTTCCTCTAGATTAGCCTTTGAAAGTCTATAATTTAAAAGTATAGGCCATAAGTTTGAAAGCTAATTCCAAGCAGGAACGTGATGATCCAAGCAGCATCTGCCTGCTCCCTATTAAAATCCTGTGTTTAGTCTATGGATGACTACGTACTCATCCGTATCACAGACTGGTGTACTTCACCAATGGTGAAGTACACAATTAAGGCGATCCAGTAAAGTCAAATAATCATTAATTTCAATTGCTGTACTGTTAAAAACATTTCCATGATCTGTTTATCTGCCCTTCTGTGCTCTCCCTTTTTGCATCCAGTTGCCCATCATGGACCCAAATCGCCAGGTGCAGCCAGAGTGGGGAGCACCTTCCCAGCACCAGCAATCAGTGCTGCCGAGTCCCATCGCATCAGGGGTACCAGTGGGTGTCCAGACCATCACCCCTCGCTGCCTCCCTCCAGCCTTTGCCTCCTGCGCTGCCCATCGAGGTAAGGGTGCGAAGCACAGACAGACAGACACAGACAGAC